ATTTTATCTGATCATTAGGGATGTATTTGGGCAGCTTTGCCCTGAGTGTCCTCAGTCACAAGAAAAGATGGACATGAGCAGGGGACCCTGTAGGAAAAGGTAGACATACATGACAATATGAAGCATCACTTGGTAGATTTTCTAATTATTTATCAGTTTTTAAATTGTAAACATGATTTAGACTTCAGGCTAACATCACCTGAATTGTCTGATTCTGCTAACACGCAACTAAAAATTATGATGGTGATAATGTGTTTCTCTTTAAGTTCAAGTAAACATCATTAAAAGAAGCACAAAGCAAGTGAAATATGCATGGCAGAGAAGCACTGTAACAAGGGACCATTGCTAGGTCACAGGTTCCAATGTTAACAGAGAATGAAGCTGTTTTCTTTTTTTCCGGAATAGAATTTCAAGTAGATGAAGACTGAAAAATGGGTCTTGGAGAGTTCAGCCTCATTACTTCTGGAGATCTCTCTCATCAGTGCCTAGTGGAGATAATAATTCCCAAACTATCTGCAACAAATATAAATTACTTGAGTAATCAAAACAATATAATTGTTGATTTCTTCCCTGTATTTATTATATACAATGAAAACAGCTTTAACATTTTTTTTGGCTGTTAAAATACAAGCTCCTTGGAAAAACCTGGTAAATGAATAGTCAAATTATTAATAATGGTTTTCTCCCATGGTGCGATTGTAGGTACTTTTACTTTCTTCTATATATTTTCCATATTTTTTTTTCCCAATGAGTCTCACAGGGAGAAGCTGAGATGCCATAAGGGAAAAATTGGGACTCATGAGCAAATAGGGCAAGGACCTAGAAGTGGTACAGGCCTGATGGTTCCCTGTTTTTTGTTTTAGCCCAGGTATCCCCCTTTCCTTGGGCTAATGTAGATCAGCCTTTTCCTTTGCCCAAAGAACCCTGCTAAAACTGGGTGGGGCTACATTCTACAATTGTATTTATTGGTCACCTTTCCACAGAACCAAGCACATAGTAGAAACTCAAGAAATAAAATATTTGATTTTATTAAGTGTCTTATTTCCTGAAAGTACGAAATAACATTATGTGGTGGAGATATGGTTAAAAACAGTATGATCAATTTCAGGAGAAGGAAACACTCCATAAAGTACTAGTGAACTTGATGATATTCTATGAGAAAAGATTGATTTGTATTTTTTTTTACATTAGAAAGCTTATCTATGTGCCTTTGTGTGTAATATTTATTTAAATAAAGGCTAAAGATTCCCAAAAACATTAGTAAGAAACTCTTCTTAATTAGCTTTACACTTCTTGGCCCATTTTAGTCTTTCTCTCTCTCACTTTCTCTAACACATACACACACACCACACACAAATCTAGGTAGGAGAGCAAGGGAGGAATTCTGCATTAGGACATATAGAAAGTAGGTTAATACAAATGAATAAGATGCCAAGTACAGTTTGAAAATTGACATTTATTAGCACACTCTGTATGAAGATATTTTCAAAGCTTTGCCATGCATATGAAAATATTCCATTTTTATGCTCATGTTTTCATTATTCAATAGCATGCATTACTTTCTGTTGTTTCCAAATGCAAGTTGTAAATCTCCTCAGAAAATTTCACTGATGTGAGATTTCCCTTAGTCTTTTATGGTTGAGTGGATCATTTTCCTTTCAACCAGAACAGTAATTCCATGTAAAAGAGTAAGAATAAATTGTAATAGAAAGCTATGTTGCTTTGAAATTTAAAAAAATAAAATAAATTATTAATTTTAGTGGCTTTTTGGCCATACTCAAGTTCCTATTTTCATCTGTGGAATTACATTTTAACATCATAAACATGAAATATGTTTTATGTTCACAGAAAAGGGAAATTTTCATCTAGGTATTCATTTTACATAGATATTTGCCTTGATTCACCTTCCTTTTATAAAGTATTTATAAATTTCATATATTTTTAATTAGACAAGTAATACACAAATCCATTCCTATTATTTAAGAAAAGTAAAAAAAATAAAACACACACAGGGAACATGTTAATCTCCCTTGGCCATTACTCACTCTAGTCTCTAACTTCTCCAGAGGTAACCATGTTTTTTTTAATTTTTGTTTTTGTATTTTTGCGACAGAGTCTTGCTCTGTCGCCCATGCTGAAGTGCAGTGGTGCAATCTTTGCTCACTGCAACCTCCACCTCCCGGGTTCAAAAGAGTCTCCTGCCTCAGCCTCCCAAGTAGCTGGTACTACAGGCACACACCACCACGCCCAGCTAATTTTTGTATTTTTAGTAGAGGCGGGGGTTTCCCCATATTGGCCAGGATGGTCTCGAACTCCTGACCTCATGATCTGCCTACTTTGGCCTCCGAAAGTGTTGGAATTACAGGCATGAGCCACCACACCTGGCCAACCATGTGTTAAGACCGGGACACCACCAATCAGACATTTTTAATGGAAATTTGATGGATTGTTTTGTAGATCATCTTTTTAACTGACAAAGAGTATTTCACACTTAAACTACACAAATATTGCATTGAGTCATTTTCTTATTTGTAGATATTTAGAATTATCCAAATGTTTCACCATTACAAATAATGCTTCAGTTATAATCCATGAATATGCCTCATTATACACATAAGCAAGTATTTCTCTGGGATAGACACTAAGAAGAGAAACTGAGAGTCATAGGGTACAGTCATCATTAATTTTAATAGATAGTGCCAAATTGCCCTCCAAATGTCAGTACCAATTTATTTTCTCACCTGTAGAATATGAGAGTTCACAGCCCCTCTATCTTTTGGAATCACCGAGAAGAGAAAATGCTATTGACATGTTATTGTAATACGCATTTCTCTGATTTCTCGCAAGCTCTGGTTTTCATATTCTTAGTGTCTATTTTGTCTTCCTTCTCTTTGAAATGCCCGTCGATAACATTTGTCCATTTTTTGTATTGGTTTGTTTTGTTTTTCATTGATTTATATATAATATTTTGTAAATTGTTCATTTTAATTTTGTTGGATTTTATATATTGCAAAGATATTATAGTGTGTTATTTATCTTTTTGCTTAGGTTGTTCAAAATTCTTAAATGTTTACAGGTTAAATGTATCAATCTTTGTCTCATGTTTTTTCCCCTTGCTGTGTTATTTAAGAAGGTCATACTCTAAACTCTGATACATTTATAGGTTTTTAGTAAAAGCAACTTGATTTATAATCCATCTAACATTTATTTTGTGAATAGTCTATGATAGAAATTGATAGATAAATGAATATAAGTTTGTACAAACAGGTATAATATATGACAGTTTCTCTGAATTATTAAATCATCTTATAAATCAAACAACTATGGAATATTAATTACCTGGGTGATCAGCAAAATTTTATATTTCTTTTCCCTATCCTTTTTAATATCTACTCTGTTTTGTTTGTTAAGGCCAGTCAGTTCTTCAATATGAAGCCCAAAAGGCTCCAATGAGGAAAAGATTAATATCTTCTCTCTTTTGTGCTGATGTTAATATCCTCACTCAGGTGCAGCCAGTAATATGGTAATGCCTCTCTCCCTTATAAGGACCATTATGATTACATTGGGCTGATCTGGCTCAACCTGGATAATCTTCTCATCTAAAGATCCCTAATGTAATCACATTAACAATCTCCCATTTGCCATGTAAGGTAAAACATTCACAAATACTGGGGTTTAGCACATGGATATCTTTGGGAGGCCGTTATTCTTCCCTCCACATTGTCAACCTCTGGTCCAACTCGCTTGTCATCAGTATAGGAGTGCCTGTGGAGACAGGTAGAGTGGTAGGAGTTGGGAGGATTCTTGATTGCCTTCAGCTGAGCTTGAACCTGTGCCCTCAGTGGAGCAGTTTCATTTAAAAGGGGATGTGACTAAACAGGCACCATAAAATATACTTCTAGTATCATCCCTGAATTGAAAGAGTTTATATATAAAACTACATGATAAAATTAAATGAGTTACATTTTGTGAAGCAGGTAGAACAATGCCTGAGCAGAGTAGGCATTATATACGTATTTGCGCTTGTTAAATAAAACCCAAAAATAATTTCCACGAGGAAAGGAGTTTCAAGCAGACAATTAATTTGCGAATGTGATATATCCTCTTGATCCAAGGAGCTAATGGATTTTGTGAATTACATTCCTCAGGGTACACTAAATCCTCACTGTTGACTATCAAGAGAAAATACACCTTGACTGGTTTTTCCAGTGGTGGTGGTAATTATGTATGGATTATACACTTAATTGTCACATTTTTTTAATGAGAATAATAGCTTAAAATCAAAAGTGAAAGGTATACACTGAAAAATGGCCCTATTAATTAGCCCATTCCATATTTATTGAACAACTACACTGTACCAGATTCTACAGAGCATCAATGATAAATAACAGTCCTTGTGCTCAAGTCTTTTGAAGTATAATAGGGTGAATTCTTCTGGGCTTGCAAATATAGTCCCCTCCTTGACCCCTTATTTCTAGGAGATAGGTTCTAAGACCTACCTTCCCCCGACCCTGTGGATGCCTGAAACGATGGATTGTACTGAACCTTATTGTGTCAAATGGAACATTTTTTTTATCATGCCTTCTACCCACAAATTTAATGCCTTTTCCATTTTAACTAAGAACGTTTATACTGTGGCTGTAACTTTTGCATTTTGAGGTGCAACTGCAAAACTAGCATGCATTTCTTTTTCTTTCTTCACAAGTTCTCAGATAGAAAATTTGTTCTTACTATAGATCTTAGCAAACAGTATATGGTGGTGATTTTTTTTCTTTCCTTTTTCTTTTTTCTTTTTTTTTTTTTTTTTAAGAGAGAGTGTCTCTCTCTATCACCCAGGCTGGAGTGCAGAAGCATGATCATGACTCTCACTACAGCCTCAACCTCCCCAGTTCAAGCAATCTTCCCACATCAGCCTCCCAAGTAGCTGGGACCACAGGCACATGTCACCACACCCAGCTATTTAAATTTTTTTTTGTAGTTATGGGGTTTCCCTATGTTGTCCTGGCTGGTCTCAAACTCCTGGGCTCAACCAGTGCTCCCACCTTAGCTTCCCAAAGTGTTTGGGATTTCAGGCGTGAGCCACCATGTCCCGCGCTTTACTTATTAAGTCAAGAATTTTCACCTTTTCACTTAAAGGAAGCACTCAATGGCTTCTCTTTGGCATATCCAAATTGCCAGCATAACTATTCTTGCATTTTGGGGCCCTAATGAAGTAAACTAAAGGCTACTTGAACACTAGCACTGTAATACCCAGACAGTTAAACTGATCACCATGAGGGCTACTAAGTGGCTAATGGGCAGGTAGCATGTACAGTGAGAACACACTGGATAAAGGCATGATTCATGTTTTGGGCAGGCCAGAGCTGGGCAGCATGAGATTTCATCACAGTATTCAGAACAGTGTGCAATTGAAAACTTAACAATTGCTTATTTCTTGAATTGTCCATTTAATATTGTTGGACCTCAGTTGACTGTGGGCAACTAAAACCACAGAAAGCAAAACTGCAGGTAAGGGGGACTAGTATGCTTATAATACAAAGTGAATTACACTGTGGCCCAAAGAAAGATTTAAAACAAAGTGGTATAAAGTATTATAAATTAGAGTAATCAGTCTTGTAAAGATGTCTTAGAGTAAGCAGGTAGTATTTGAAATGAGCTTTGACCATAAAGCTGAAAATGAGATGGGACACCCCTGGTAAGGGTTTAATGTTACCTAAGATAGAGAGAGAGAAAATCCAAACCTTTAAAATAAAACAACTTGGCAGAAATAGAGGATGTTGCACCTATAATTGTAGTGAGAGAGAAAATGGAAGAGTTCAATGTAGCTTTTGGATCATATCCGGGTGTAAGGAGGTTGTGCTTGATTCCATGGGAGGTAATGGTTTTTGAAGAGGGAAATGTGTCATCAAGCTCACTTTTGAGACAAATTGATTCATCTGTCATATATTAGATAAACAGAATGGAGGTGAGAACAGAAGGAGGGAGAACAGTTAACAACTCATTAACAAGTGTCCTAAGTGACAAATAGTGAAGGCTTTGACTAAGATAGTAAGAATGAACTAGAAAGGAGGGTCTGGTATGAGAGACATTGTGTTCAAGCAGAATCCACATGATTTAGCAACTGATTTAGGAAGGGAGAGAGGGGCCCATAGTGACTGCTTTCCTGCTTGGATGACTAGAATAATGTGGTTTCAGAATAGAAACAGGAAATTGGACAGATGATGTATCCTTGTCTTTAACTGAATGGATTTAAGATGCTGGAAGAATTTTGAGGGTGACTGTTTCAAACTAGTGTTTCAAAATGAGGTGGGACATTCCTGAGGGAGATAGAGAAAGATATTTGGGAGTTTTAGTCTAAAACAATCTCAAAATGGGAGAGGGGAGACTTTGTAGCTCATTTTGTCCTATGGACTCATCTTACTTGAGTTTCACCCCTTTCCTTGTATCTGCCAAATGTTTTTCTATCTTGATTTGAACTTTGAGTCTATGGAGGCTAAACCCGTGGCCCCCTGGAGGTTACGTCTAAATTGCTGACGTGAGGCAAATTGATTAGTAGGATAAATGGCATACAAATGTATTTAACTTGTATATACGGGAGCCTTCAGAATGAAGACCCTAAGACACAGGGGAAATTGTCTATTTTTCTGCTTAGATTCTACAAAGTATAGACAGCCCTGTAGAAATATGATTGGACAAAAATGATATGATCTAGTGCTGATAGACTGAGTGGGGAAACCCAGCAAAGCCCATCTATCTAGATTCTTCTTGGTCTGTCTGTGCATGTATTTGTTCCTTGCGGGTATGGATCAGGACCCTTTCTGGAATGGGGTCTTAGGACCTATAGTCAAACAAGGTAAGTGAGATCATTTCTTTATGGCCAGTTTGTTCACAGATAGGACAGAGGGAAAGTTAGAGTAATATCTTTAAGTTTATGAGTGGCTTTGGGACAAAAGGGGTTCTGGCTTCTATGACCTGCCTTGGGGAAGAGGGATTCTAGTTTCTATGGCCAGCCTCCGTGGAGAATGGGATGGAGAGATAGGAGCGCTGGAGGAGGTCAAAGAAAAACTTTTGCTTCTGAAGCTGTTTTTGAGGTTTTCATTTTGGGGCATTGTTTTCTGAGCCCTAACAAGTCTATGACATCCTGAGGCAGGCATTTCTGTTTGCACCATTCAGTTTGCAATTTCTTCTTTATTCTGCGTTCTCTAAAGTTCTTTCCCTTTGAACCTAGTTCTACATCTTGGGACCCTAGAGCATTTGTAGTTCTGTCTCACAGACGCTCTTCTGATGTTTTAAGAAAGCTATAAAGTCCCTCTTTAGCCTCCTTTTCCGATAATGCAGGGAGTGTAAATGGTGCTCAGAGGCAGTATAATATCTTCATGCCCTCTTTTGCTATGCTCCCTGCTAGAATTTTCCCAGATATAAATAAATTCATAGAAAACTACAAACAACTTGCAATGGTTCTAGGCTCAATTAATCTAACATTCGAAATTGAAATAAAAATCCTTCACAGAAATCAATAGGGTTTCACTGTAGATAAATGCCTGAGGGCACATGTCCACCTCTGTCACCTCTCCCGCTTCCAATGCTCCTTTATTCTTTTATAGGCTAAACATCTCTACTTGGCATGATGGTTCATGTGACAGTTTCCAGTCATATCACTGTCTTTGGTCTCAGTAGCATGGAGAAAAACAAGACCAGCTCCTCCCTTGGTCTACATAATGTGATTATATATATACACTAAATCAGTTGTGTGTTTGGATACACACCCTGTCTGGCTCATAGACACACTGCCACCAATGCCTGTTAATCATCTGCAGCTGGCTGTGTAACCAAGTGGAAGTTTACCCTTCGTTGCTATTATATTTCGCCTTACTATCCATTAGGTCCTCAGACAACATCATTTTGTTCAATGTTGTTTCATTATAACACTGATGAGAAAAAAAGTCAATCCCCAGCCAGGACCACTGTCTATGTGGAATTTGCACTTCTCTGAATGTCTGAATGAGTTTTCTCCGGGCACTCTGTTTTCCTCCCACATCCAAGACCTGTGCATGTTCAGTTCATTGGTGTGTCTGAGTGGTTCCAGTCTGAGTGAGTGTGTGTGTGCGTGTGCACACCCAGTGATGGGCTGGCATCTTGGTCACAGTAGATTTCTACATGGCACCCCGAGCTGCTGGGATAGGCTCCAACCACTCGTGACTCAGAACTTGGATAAGCAGGTAAATCATGATCTACTTATTTTATGAATCTTTCTTAAATGATGTATAGCTCGTATGTATTTCAATGTTTCATATTAGAAGTACGTTGGTCTTTAGAAGTTTTGTGATATTTTGTGACAAGAAGTATGTCACAAGAACTTAAATCTTGTTTACGTCAATTAGCCTATGAGAAAATTGGTTGTATATGAGGTTGTTGCACCTAAAGTCACAGTTTCCAAGAACCTATAGATGACATTAAGTGAGGACTTACTGTATTTGAACCTTACTCTAATCTGCACTATCATTTAGATCTCAAATTCATCATGTTTATCAGCTTGCCTTTCTGTCTTGCTAAGACCTTGTTGATGATGTAGAATGTTAAGAAACTTATATTTAGGATGGTATGCTTGACAAAACAGTATTTTTCCAGTTTGACATTAAGTTGTCAAAGGTCTGATAAGGAATTTTGGGGGAACTTTATTGAAGTTGTATAGATGTTAAAAGTGCTTTTTAAAATGAGATGACACTTGGTTTATTCTGAATTTATTTATATAAAGTAACACCATCTTACGTGTTGAGAACTTAGACTTTTGATTCAAAACACCTAGCATGAAATCCTGCTGTACCATTTATAGTTTATTTGTCTTCCTTCAATCTATTTCCTTTAGTGTTATATGAGACTATTAATGCTTTCTTCCTAGGCTATTGTGAGGGTTTGAGGAGATGATATGAATAAAACACCTAGTACCTTGTTTGGTATACAATAAGTGGCTGTTATTTATCTATGAATGTCTGATTACACTTTAAAATTTAACTTTATTCCCGCTGGGCGTGGTGGCTCACGCCTGTAATCCCAGCACTTTGGGAGGCCGAGACGGGTGGATCACGAGGTCAGGAGATCGAGACCATCCTGGCTAACATGGTGAAACCCCGTCTCTACTAAAAATACAAAAGAATTAGCTGGGTGTGGTAGCTGGCGCCTGTAGTCCCAGCTACTTGGGAGGCTGAGGCAGGAGAATGGCGTAAACCCGGGAGGCGGAGCTTGCAGTGAGCCGAGATCGCACCACTGCACTCCAGCCTGGGCGACAGAGCAAGACTCCGTCTCAGAAAAAACAAAAAACAGAACAAAAAAACACAAAACACTTTATTCCCTTTGTGTTCATTTTCATGTTGAAAGGTTTTCTTTCAATGTGAAATTGGTATTTAATGGTATAATGAATACTTGGGAAGAAAGATCTAATGTGTATGGTAAGCCTTCTGATGTTTTTTGTAAGAGTGGATTTTGATTTGCCATACATTCTTTTCATTCATTACATAAGCAGCAATACTTATTGATTTTGAAGGTGATAAAGGCCAAGGATGTAGTCTAGAAATTCATGGGCTTGGTATTCTTAACTTTTGTGCTTTTGTCATGACCTGTAACCTTCAAAATCCATCCCTTTTTATAAACAGTGTTCCATTACCCATTTGTTATAGCTTGCCTGGAGTAAAGAAGGATACTGGGAAGATCCTGGGCACTCTTACTTCAATGACTGACCCCTTCCCCATTTGTTCTCAACAACTGTTTTTAATGTTCCATTAAATCTCTCCCTTGAAGTTTTGATATTATTTATTATATTTTTCATTTCTGGAAGTTCAAATAATTTTGTTCAAAGCAGGTAATCTTTGTAGACAGACATAGAAATATCTGCATAAGCTTTATGCTTATCTTTTATTTCTTTAACCTACTTGTTTTAAAATTGCTGGCTGATAACTCCAATATCCATAGTTTTACCACAGAGAGCAATAGCTGCTCTCTGCTCTTTTATATGATTCTTGCTCTAGGTACTGTATTTCTTTTTGTGTTTAGTTGTTTTGTTTTGTTTGTGTTTCAATGAGCTGATCAGTTTCCCTGGAATGTTATTTGTGGGCATTCTCTGAGGCCTAGGTTGAAGGGAATTCTTGTAGAGAGGATTTCCATTAGCCTTGGCAGGTGCCTAAGGTATAACCATTCTGGGATCACTGTAAATTAAATGAAATTCATAGCTTGAGGTTTTGGGGACTATCCAAGTAATAAGAATTTGTGCAGTAAATCAATCTTAAGGATGTATAAGGGGTGGAGAGGGTCAAGTTTACTTATGTTTCATTATTTTTCCTGAGGATGTAGCCCTTAGCTTTACTGGGTAGAGGTTCTCTCTAATTTGAGCTTTAATCAAGCCCTCCCCATCCCCATCTCTTTAGCCTCCTGCTACCATTAAACCTAGGCTCAGACTACTGGAATGGCCAGGATCAGTAAATGTCCTCAGGAAAAATGTCTTCAGTGGGCCACTTAACCCTTTGAGCTCTGATTTTACTTAGATTTTGGGCACAGGAATTCCTATCTTGTGAACTATTTGATAACTTTGGAAAAAAAAAATAACCCAGTGTTGTTCCTTATTTTCGGTGGGAACGTTGCTCCAATTAATGTTGCTTGCCATAGTAATAGAAATATAACTTCCTTGTTATTTCTTACTTAGGAGTTTTCTCAACCAGATTTTATATTTAACATTTCAAATTTCTTGGCATAATTCTCATTCTCTGACCCTGCTTACTTGCTACTGGCAGCTTTATTTTTAAACTCCACTTTAACTTTTCTCCTTTGTATAACGTATCCTTCAACACCTTGAAATAGTTAACTCTCGTGAGTGTAATAGGAAATTTACAAAAAACAATCTTTAAAAACCACCAGATTATGTGATTGTGTGATCCGGGAATGAATGCATGTCTTAGAAGAAAGAGGGCAAATTGGGTGAAATAAAAGGTGTTAAGCAAGAAATTCTTGGGTGGAAAGAGAGTATTATTGAGATGATTGGCAAGACCACTTAGACTGTCAGATAATTAAATGAAGCCAAGAAGGCGTTATGGGAAATGAGCTGATTAAGACAGGTAAGACAGGAAGGAATGATGGAATAACTGGAGGAAAAGGAGCGCCTATTAATCTTGGGGAATTTTATCATGTATTCAGATTTTAAAAAATCAATTAATGAACATTCGACTATAGACCATATAAATCAGGGCTGATTCATAGTTTTCCCTTTTCTTAAAACCAATTAGCAGATATTAGCTGTAACTAAGGATCTTTTGACCTCTAAAGAATACCCTTGGTACATTTTCTCATCAAACTAATACTTAGAAACAATAGGGAAACAGGAAATTAATGAGACATCTGAAACTTTATGATTTCTTTTCTTCTGGATATATTAGGGGGAAATCAGATAACGTATACATTTTTTCATGTTATTTTTACATCAGACTTTTCCCCTAGTATTCTTTCTCGTTTGAAACATGTTAATGTACTACAAATGAAAGAGGATGAAACTCTTGAACAGTTTCTGGATTGTAATATGTTTAAAAATAGATATAGTTCTCCATCTCTCATTTTCTATGTTTTTCCAGTTTTGTTTTTTTTTTTTTTAAATTTGCTTAGCCACGATTCATTACTCATTTAGGTCCTCCTCTGTCCCTGGCACTTTGGTAAGTGTTTTGCATATAGTTTCTCATTGAATCCTCAGAAAACCTATGAGGCTCGAATTATTATTGCCATTTTACTGGCAAAATTGAGACCCATAAAAAAATAAGCAAACAACTTTATTGTTTATAAAGGTTTACCTATATTTATTTTGATGTGAATTTTAATTGTTATCATCACATCAAGCCTATGGTTTTGTCATATGTTATTCATTTTTTTTATATACATGAGAACAAAGAAGCTCATAGGAATGAGTTGTCAAAGCTTCCAGTATACTGATACAGATGGTGCTTTATCTCAAAGCTTTTAAGTCACACTCTACTAATCTTCTACAATGCTACACTTATTTGAAAGATAAACATAGGATGATGATGATGTTGAGGATAATGACTACTTTTAAAATGGTACAAAGCTTGAGATTTAGAAAACCATTACTATCCAACTCTAGTTGTATTTGATAATCCAGATTCTCCTCTGCTCCTCATAGTTTAGTGTAGCCTACTTTAAACATGTTCAGCATACCTATGTTAGCCTACAGTTGGGCAAAATTGCTTGACACAAAACCTTTTTTATGATCTCATGTAATTTTTGAACATAGTACACTGTAGAGTACTTTATCCATTTTTTATCCTTGTGATCATGATAATGTGGCTAACTGGGAACTCTGTCTCACTTCAGCTGTTCAGCATTCTGAAAGAATATCACACCAAATATCACTAGCCCAGGAAAAGATCAAAATCCAAAGTTCAGAGTACTGTTTCTACTGAATGTGTATTGTTTTGCCCATCCTAAAGTTGAAAAATCACAAGTCAAACCGTCATAAGTCCAGGATTATTTGTTTATATATCTTGTAGCGAAGGGAAAATTGAAAGGAAATAATGTTCTTTCCACCCTTCTACACTACTGGCTGGAGCCCCTGCAACAAAAGACAAATTAACAAGAGAAAAACAAACAGAAGTTACTAACATGTATATCTCATATATACATGGGCGATACCTAAGGAAATGAGTATATCTCAAAGATAATGGCTTAGAAATTAGTCATAAATACCATCTTCACCTAAAAACAAAGAAAGAAGGGCATGGGGGAAACCACTTATGGGGGTGACCAGGAAAAGTACAGTAAACAAGAGTAAGGTTTTTTATGCAGATTTAAGCCATTTCCTTCCTCATTAATAAGACTGCAGTCTTCTTGGTACAGAGAGAAAGAGACACCCTTACAGATGAAAATTTCCATTATAAATGTGACTTTACCTTACAAAAGTGTAACTTCCACTTTCTTTGCAGAGCTTCACATGTGCCTGCCATTTCTCAAAATAATTAGTTCAAAATAATCCTTATACTGAAGAAGCATATTTTGGGGCATCATATTCTGGTGTCCTACAATCTTAATATCAAATGCTATAGAAATAACCCAAAGGATGGGCACGGTGTGTGAAAAGTTCTGGGAAGAACATAACAAGTAGACTATATAACTACAAATGGCAATCTGTGTCCCAACAGTTTATTTAGCTTTATCAGATATATTTTCCGGA